GGGGAAGCGGCACCTGCCCGGTGTGGGTTCGGGAGCTGATGGTCGTTTGTTTGTGGCCAAACAGCGCGCAGTGGCGATGCGGGGTGCTCGCCCCTCTTCTGGCCGCCCCCAGCCCAGCTTTAATCTATTTTTCATGTCAAGGAACTCCTGCAAGGGGATCTGTTCTGAGGAATGGTTACTTTCCTGCGTGTCACAGGCTGAGTTTTGCCTGTCCGGTGTCGCTGGGTCGGCCACAGCGCAACTGTAAACTTTTTTTGGGGTGTGGATGCTTTAGTTTTTCTACACTCTGTTGCCAAGACCTAAAATATCCTCTGCTGTAACTCCCACTTTACTACTACTGTGTTGCTGCTAGGATCTTCTGCCCTGTGTTGAAGAGGCACTGGAATAAAGTTAGGAGAGGGGTGTAGACTTGTAAAAAGAAAACCCCTGCAGCTGATCAGGCCCTTGCTCTTTTTATATGAGAACAGGAAGTCGGATCACAACGCTAAGAGGGAAATTTAGAGAACGGGGGAAGGAAAGAGAACATTCTTTGCGTAGCCACTGTCAGCTTAACCATGGAGGAGCTGAGTGATGGTCACTACCTCTGCAAGGTCAGGCCTGTACTTTCCTGACCTTGAAATTGAGGAGGCGTGGGGTCAGCGTTGGGTTATAAGTGACATCACGTGCAGTTTTCGTGGCTTTCCCAGCATTCAAATGAGACAGAAATTTAATATAAGGCTTGGAATTCACAGGGATGAGAGAGGGTCCAGTCTGTCTTCAGCAGGTGTGCATATTTCAGTCTTCATCCAGGAGTGCTTATACAGGAGTGTTGGTGTCTTTACCTTCCCTATCGTATGTAATATGCACATCTGATAAATTTCTATGCCTTTTCTTCCCAGGACTATCAGTTTGTTAATAAAGTCTGGCAGGGTGTTCCAAGAAAAGTTGAATGAAAGCTGAAGGTGGCATCTTAAAGATGCTGGAGTCACTTGTTTAGGAAGACTGTGGAGTGTAAATTGTTCCTGAAATAAACCCAAATTTTATTGAAAAAGCAGTGGTTATTGCCCTTCTGTGAACTGTATGGTTATACTCTCAAGTCAGATTTTGAAGTGGTTCATGTTATTTGCAGGTAAAAATGTTTCAGCACTTTTCATCAATACAATATTGTATGTATTTACTGTTTCATACAGAATTATGAACTTGCATGGAAACAATGAGCAGCCTTTAATATTATCTGTAAACATACGCATTCTTGAAATCTAAGGTATTCTATGATCAAAATACAAGCCTAAACTAGATACGTGCTTTACTTTGATCTCTTTTACCTTTATTACTAAAGACATCAATTTAGTCATGTATGCCATTTTAAAACAACTTAGTAGGAAATAATAGTATAGAATGGAGGCAAATCATTTTTTTTTTTTTAATAGTGAAATACTCCACTCTAAAGTTGCACTGATACTAGGTTTACTTAATTGTGATTTTCCAAATGAAATTAATAAAGCTAGTCTGGTGTTTTCCAACATGTGTATTATTTGATTACAGTTATGATGTTTTTCTTGTTTACCTTTGGTGGGCAAACAAATATGTGGTGGTAGATTACTGCGTAACAGTATTCCTGTTACATAGTTTGAGGGGTTTTATGCTTGTGCTGAAATGGTAATGTAAACATTAACTCCCCAGTAGGAAAACAAGCTTTCTGGTAATCTTGACAGATCATTCAAGCAGCTCTATAACTGTGTGCTCCATAATCCACATTTAGCAGAAAAAAAAAAAAAAGAAAAAAGAAGAAAAAAAAATCACCTACTGAGCAGTCTCTTTGGTGTACGTATTAAGTGGGAGGGTTATGTCTTTCAGCATCCTAGCTACAGGGAGTTAATTGTCCTTTAAATCTCTCCTCCTTTCCCAGACAGTGTAAAATTTTCCACTCGATCTTCTCATATTTACTTCACTGTTGTGCTTTCTTTTAGGCAACCCGCACAAGCATGCAGCACTGCCCCTGAATCAGCGCTTGAGCTGAAGCAGATCAGTCATAGTCCCAGCCTTTCAAATCTTACCCAGGTGACGATGGTGCCGTTGGGGCACTTAGCCAAGGGGGCCACTTTGGAAGATCTTCTTGAAACCTGCATTCAGTCTTTTGGTGAGTGTCTGGAGGTTTTTAAAATCGTATTAATTTGTTTCTGTCCTGGCTAGGTTTAGGCCACTTACTAGTGAATTACATTGATTTATTAGTAGAGCAGAAAGGTGTAACTGAGAATTTTCTATGCTGTACGTGACTGCATATTTTTCTACGTTTTTGGGTCTCTTTATGCGTATGTGTGTAATATATGCTGAGAGATTAGCGTGACTACTGCTTTTTCTTCAGAGAATAAGACAAATGTCAGTCATCTGTACTTCTGTGTGTGTTTTTTGTTGTTCCTTCAAGCAACAGTTTGGTAAATGTTAGCAAAGTAATCATTATATTTTTGCATATTGTAGTAATATTCTCATAATGTGTGTAAACAGTGTGTTTACTGTAAACGTTTTGAAATGAGCAGGGCTATTTTTAAACTAGGTGAAATAACATTGGATTGCTTCTTGCATTATCAGTATGGATTCAAAGTTGATTTTCTACAAAAGAGAAGGAATCCAAACAAAAATCACAACTGTATACCTTTTTGAGCCTATCAGTTATCCGTTTGTCTTTTTACAATAAGAATTGTAATATGTGGAAGCATGACTGTTGCATGAGACCTATATCCGTAGTTTCCTTTTCCAACTTTTTCATTAGTAAATGTGTTTATTTTTTATTAAAATATGTTAGTACTGTAGGTGCTCAAAATGATTCTGAATAATTTACTTGTAAGTAATGTACTTGTTTGTTTGATGCTGTGCCTTTCAGTGCTATGAGCTATTCCGAAAGCACACGTGGCAGTCTTAGTTGTAGAGTAGTCCTCACGACATAATTGTACTTGAATACCGACTAAGCACTAAAATAATTAACCTATATAGTTAAATAGTAACACATAGTGCTGATCTAGTGATACAGCACATAAATACTGTATAAACAATGACTAATCTTTCACGTTCATTGGAAATGCTTTTTTTTTTTTTTAACTTTAAAGCCTTCTAATCAGCATGTGCAGAGAAACGTGTGTCTGAGAAACATGTAATTGTCAGTAACATTTTCCTTTTTTTGGCTTCTTTTCTCCTCCATTTAATTATTGTAAAGAACATATCCACTGAACTGCTCTAAAGCCCTAATTCCTAGACAGTTGTCGATTTATACTTTTATTTTGGTTCACTGGGAGTGAGATAAGACATATAAAGCGCATGTAATACCTTCATACAGTTTTACTATTGTGACTACTTGACCTCTATTAATGTGTTCGTATTTTAATGAAAACAGGTATTGTAAATGTAACATGAAAATCTAGTAAAATGATTACGGTGATTGGTTTCAAGTAGTCTGGGTGAAACCGAATGGGAGATTATTGTTGGCGTAGTTATTTTAATACTTTTTTAATACTGTATGTATATCATCATACTCATGCTTATGTGTTCTCAGATTCCTGGGCATGCATGTATTATAAGGACTAAGGTCACAAAGAAAAGCAAGTGTACCTGTCTAGTTCAGCTGTATATGCATGTGAATCTTTCTGAAGCATTTCCTACTTCAGGTAGAAGATTTACCATAGTCCACTAAATAGGGTTTTCTTGAACCTTGACGAGTGGTACATAGGTTTAGCAAAGTGAATTGTAGTGCGTCTGCAAACATAATCTTAAACTCACTGAGCGCTGCTAGAATTATGATGTATGCTGCAGAAGTTTAGACTCTTCATTCGGCAATTTGTAGTAGTTTCTATATTTGTACATCTTCTATGACATTACGCATGTTTTTAAGCTGTGTTGGAATTTCCCAGTAGGGTATTTAAATAAATTGTAAAGTGCAACTGTTAAAACCATAGATAACCTACATAACGAAGTTCCTTAAAGAAGGTTCTTGTAGCTACCAACAAAAACACTGTGAAAAATTCATTCACATCGTTGTACCAAAAAAAAAAAAAAGCAATGAAAAAAACTTTAATCTGGGAGTTTGAGAAGGGGTGGGGGTAGGGAGAAAAATAGTGAGTAAAAATGCGTAGTTGCTCAATCACTCGGGTTACTTGTAATCATTCCGCAAGTTTCTTCCCGTGCGTAGCACTAAAGTAAAGCTATTACGCTGTACTCTAATAGTTCTGTTCAGACTGAGGTTGTATCTTCAATCTCAGATATGCTGACCTATAATATTTTGTATATTATTCTAAAAATTCATTATTGTGATCTGAGCAAGTTTTATTTCAATATTATAAACAGAGAAACCCCCAAGACATAAGCACATATTTCCTTTGTATGTTTTAAGTTTACTTTCTGGAAAAAGCCTTCGATTCCTTGGCTGTTTAGGGTTAAGGAGAGCAATAGGTGGTAGACAGCGATGATGATGTGTTACGTTTCAGAATATATACTGCATCATGTTAATGTTATACTGCACTTGCTAACATTATGAATAGAGTTACAAATACAATTCCTATATAAAGTATGCAGCTGAATTTATGTTCTTGGGCTCAATTATACAAGTTTGGAAAAAGAAAATAATGTCTAAAAAAGGCTGCTGTCAGCAATGGTATGTAAGGGGAAGTTGGCAGCTTTTTACCATACATGCAGAGAATATACGTGAAGGTTTAACCAAGCAGGTATTAAGAATTAGTGCACACTTGCAGCGGTGAAGAAGACAAGTACAAGTTACTTATCTTACAGTATAGATAAGGAGGAACAAATGAGAAAGGAGGATATACTAAGTTGAAGTTAAGAGTGAGGAGGCTAAGCTTTGTCACAGTGTTCTAAATGGATTCCAGGATGTTTTGTAGAAAGACAAGTTTTGTCCAGAAAGCTAAGCTAATCCAAAACCTGTGCTAAGGAGGCAAGGAATAAAGATTGTATCTTGGAGTTAGTGATATTATCTGTAGGTCTACAACAGTGCTGGGCAAAAGATGATGCTAGAATGTAGACAGAACAGTATGAATTACAATAGTGGTGGTGTACCTGCTAATTCCAAAAGTAAAAAGTTAGGAGGCCTTTTGTTTTCTTTTTTTCTTTAGAAAAGACCAAAAGCTTATTCAGTGTAATTAACTTCAACATCTACTTTGGGATGATTCCTGTGTATTCTTTCACCTCTCAAATTTGGTCTTTGGCTTGAACTGATGAATGATAGGCATGTGCTTTAGAGACAGAAACAGTGAGGGTCATATGAGGTATGTGAAGTCATGTAGATGATCACTACCTCTGAGAGATCAGCATTACGCCGGTGTTTATTCAATAGCATGATGAGAAGGAGATGCTGAAATTAGAGGTTTCTTCAAGTTCCATGAAAGGTTGCATAAGGATGAGTAAGATAAATCATTCTGCAAATGAATTGCCCAAAGTAAAGGCAACAGAAAAGGACATAAGCTAGAGCAAGAGTTCAAGAAAAATAGCATGATGAGAGATCAAAGGCAGGAGATGTTTTAGGAATATTGGTCCTGAGCTTAGGAGATTTGTAGAGACTTGAAACTGCCCTCATCAGTTTAAAGATAAGAGATTTGGTTATATATGACAGTGATTCAAAACCTGTTCTACATGGCTTGGAAGATCTCTCACCATAAGTAGCTACAGGATGCTGTTACTGCTATGATCTGGATTGACAAGAAGAGCTGTAGAGTGCAAGTAAATGCATCACATGTGATTGCCTCAGAAAAGAGGTGGAAGTGTAGCATATAACTGGAGCAGACAATAACTTTAAAAAACAAAAAAGTGATTGTGTGGAAAAAAAGAGAAGTCAGTAGGGAAGTGGAGGAAAAGAGAAATCAAAGAAGGGAGGAGAGTGCATAGAGACGAAAAGCAGCAGGTAGGGTAAAATGATTGAAAAGACTAGAAAATGCAGAGACTGTAGAAAGGTTAAATTCAGTGAAACCTCTCCATCAGAGAGGTTAATTCTGAGCAGAAAGATCATAAAGAGAAAATTGAAGGTAGATGTTCTATTGGCAACAAGGTGGCTGAAGTGATGAGTTCAGGGAAGCAAAGAAGTAATTAATAGATCTTGGCTTGGAACATGATGGCTTCAGAAGGGAGATAATTTATTCTGGAGGAAATCTTCATTAGTGACTGTGATCCTGGAGTGGAATTGTAAGTAGAACAGTGCCTTTAACCTTTTGCATCTGTGTTTTTCCTTTATATAGTATATAAAATGCCTGTAAAAGAATGTACTTTTGACTGGCAGACAGTTCTCTGGAAGTCAATACAGCTTTGTCTCCTACATTGTTGCTAGTTGTAAAGATGCTTATTCTGTCAGCTTTGTTGAAACCAACAGAGTAGGATCTAGTTTGCTGGTCCATGGCCATATTGACTACTTAATGCTGACCGTTCAGTAGAACACAGGAAGCATATGCTTAGTAGCACAGCCCGAGGTTTTGCTAGTTCTTCTTATAGTAATATAGTGATATCTTCTATATAGTTTGAGTGTGCTTTTTTTTTTTTTAAAACAAATACACTTTTCAAAGATTTGATGAGCTCATTTAACATGTATTCAAGCTTACAGACCATGTAGGGTCAGAGGGCCTTTTCCTTGGCCACACAAAACATTTGTTTAAATTGTTTTTACAAGTGTTTAAAAACTCTGTTGCAATTGGGACAAAACATATCTTCAGCATAGTGTGTCAATTTGCTATCTCCCCGCTTTGTCTGCAGTAAAATCCTGAAAGGTTACTTAGAACTACCTAACAAACAATTCCAAGAGTGTACTTGAAAATCGGGATTTATACAAACACTTGTGTCTTCCTAAAAACATTGGAGGGTCATTTAAGAGCTGAGAAATCCCTAAGATCTCAAAATTTTAATGTTATGAAGGCAATTCTGTCCTTAACCTTTGAGTGCGAGATCCTACTCGTTCGCCTCTTACATTGGAGTACTGAAAGCCTGTTTACTGTAGCACACAGATGGCCTACGCTTGTCCTACAATTGAAACACTTCAGTTACTGCTGGACAAGGTGAGTGTTGGAAAAAAAGAAAAGCACGAAACGTCATCTTTAAATGTATGTCACCATGCAGTGTCCCTATGTCTGATTTCTTAAGTAAAGGGCTTTAGGA